CAGGGAGCTAGGCCTGGTTGAGCTAGGCCGCCGGGCGGTCCTGGTTTTCTAGCAGACCCCTCAGCTACAACAGGAACAAAACGGGCCTCCGCTCTTTCCCGCCCACAAAACCTGCTGGTCCCATAGCTTCTTCCCCCAGGCATGCGATGGCTCTCACACCCCTCCCGCTGGGGGTGTGAGAGCACCGATCAGGCCCTCTTCCCCCCCCCTCCCCCCTCAGTGATCTCTGAGAGCACGGGGCAAAGAGCTCCGTGCAGACAGCTGGCATTCCATATGGTAACAGGTAGTCACAGAGCAGAGGCACCCGTGCCCCCCGCGGAGCCCTCTGCCCCCCGCGGAGCCCTCTGCTCTGGAACCCAGCAGGCCCCCGGTGGTGCAGGCGTGTACGGGGGAGGCAGGGATTTTCCTGCCCAGGATGGAGGAACAAGGCGCCCTAATTAAACCCCAGCGGCTGGGGCGGCAGGAGAGACCGTCGCAGTGAACAGTGACCAAGCTCAGGACCACCAGCCAGAGGCGGCTCTCTCCGGAGCTGCTGGAACCGGAGCCAGCTCCAGGCGCTATCTCCACGTTCATCGACAGAAACAGCCGGCGCCTCTGTTCTCGCTCCTGCAGGAATGTTACGGACCGCCGCCTGCCACCAGCCCCAAGCAGCAAACCCTCCTCCCCCCGGCGGACTCTGCACCGTCTCAGACCCGGCCGGCTTCACCTCCCCCGCCCTCTGATCGATAGCCAGTGCCAGTCCTTCCCACTGCTCCATCCTCTCTTCCCCCCACAGACGTGAGGCCCGAAGGCACCGGGGACCAGGCCGGCAGACAGCTGTGGCTCAGACTCCATGCCCGGGCCCTGGCGCTTTCCTGGCGAGCCTCTGGCTCCATCAACACTTCCTTTCAGAAGAGCTTTGTGTGAGAGAGCCTAATCCCCAAACAGGTTCGCCTTTCCTCAGGCCTTCAGTCACATGCAATGTTCTCGGTGAGGGCACCGGCCGCGCTGGAAAACGTCAGCTCAGCAGCCCCGTCCTCAGCGCGGGCACAGGGTTCCCACCGCCCTCCCCGGCGTCGTGCCTCCTCCGCACCCCAGTCACCCCGCACCTGTAACGCGCACCCCCGCGCCCACGAGGCTCCCGCGAGCCGGGGGCGTCCGTCTGCTCTGCTCCCGGCGGTGCATCCCGAGCTCTCAGAACAGTACCCGAGACACTAGACGAGGTGAGACTGTTTTTCCAAATGAACGAACTACCAGCTGCCCTTACGTAAGCACGTGCTCTGCACCAGAGACGTTTTGTACAAGCTGGTAGCTCGTTTGCATCTTCACAAGCACCCCGAAAGGAAGGCTAACTGTTCGTTTTCCAGATGGGGACACGGAGTCTCTGGGCGGGAAGATCCCTCACCCACGTCCACACCATTTGCACCGGGCGGGGCTGGGGAGAGAGGTCTGTCCGGCTCCGGAGCCTCAGCCAGGACCGGTACGCGACGCGCTGCGCTCAGGTGGGGACTCCCAGCAGGACCGGAGAGGGACAGAGGAAGACGCAACAGGAAACCTGTGGAAGCTCTATGGGACCAGGGCTGTCCAGGAGAACCTTCTGTGGTAACAGAAATTCTCTCTATTCTGACCAATTCGGAGGCCACTGGTCACCTGTGCTATTGAGCGCCTGACACGTGGCGAATGCAACTAAGGAACGACACTTTTCCTTTGACTCCATTTTAATTCATTTTAAAAAAAATTTTTTTTTTAATCCTCGCCCAAGGATAGTTTTCCATTTTTAGGGAGAGTGGAAGAGAGAGGGAAAGACTTGGAGGAGCATCGATGTGAGAGAAACACATCCACTGGTTGCCTCCCGCATGCGCCCCAACCAGAGCCCAAGCGAGGAGGAGCCTGCAACCGAGGTACATGCCCTTGTTTGCAAGGTACATGGCCGGAACGGAGCCCAGGACCCTTTGGTCCACAGGCCACCGCGGTCTCCGCGGAGCCAAACCGCCCAGGGCTGCATTCACTGAAACTGATGGAGCCACGCTGGGTGAGAGCCGAGGTGCAGCCTCTGAGACGGGCTGGGGAAAAGCCCGATGTGTGACAAGGGGGTGGGTGGCCTGCAGGCCTGGGGAGACGGGGTGTGTGTGTGTGTGTGTGTGTGTGAAGCAGGGCAGGGTGCATGTTTACCGCTGGGAGAACCCAGGCCACTTGGTGTAATCCTCCCAGTGAACAGCCTGGGAGGGAGGGTTTGTTTACCAGCCCAGCCAGGATGAGGTAACGCAGTCGGGGTCAACAGGCCTGCTGCTCGGGGCCCTGGTCCCCAGTCCCGGGAGCTTCCTCTGTCCGCCGCCACCCCGACAGTCTGTCGTGGGGGAGCTGGTGCTGAGCAGAACACTCGGGGAGCTGGGCTTCCTCGGTCCCCCTCAGGGATCTGCACCTGGCCACGGTCAAGTTCAAGCGCCTTCCGCGTGGCGTCTGGGTGGCTGGCCGCCCGCGCGCACAGCCCCTCCTTCCTCGGACTCCATACCTGTTTGCTGCCATGAATAACCAAACAAGGTCGGCGCCAAGGCGGGAAGAGATCCCTGGCGACTGGAAGCCCCCTGGGGGAGGGCCTCCGCTCAGTTCCTCAACCACGCCGCCTGCCAGTCACCCTCCAGCTGGCCAATCACAGGGATTTTTGCTGAAAAGGACATTTCCCCAAGACACACTCCCTGGTATTTTTCTGGGGTAAATCTGGAGCCAAGAACCAGCATTTCTGTCAAGCCCTCAACCCCACCCATTACACACACACACACACACACACACACCAATTCTGATGCAACGAGACCCAGAACTACCCTTTTGAGAAACACCGATGAGGCTAGGGTCAGGCGAGGGAAGCAGGCAGACATTTGGGGCGAGAAGAAATTACCATAAAGGGAAGTGCAGGAGCGGAGGCAGGACTTTGAGCAACAAAGGGGTAAGTTTAGGTGCCATGGCCCCGCAGAAGGCCGAAGGAGAACCCGGGTCCCCTGTGTCCAGGCCTCCTTCCACACCCAGCAGCTCAGCCCAGCTCGTCCAGCCCCGAGAAGGCAAGTGGCCCCAGTGCCAAGCACATGCCGGCAGCTGCCAGTCCCCAAGGGGAACAGGCCTCCCTGGCTGTCAGGAGCCCGCAGTCCGGGAAGCCGGTGGATTTCCCCTCCACACCCATCCCAGCCGCGGCTCCATCTCGGCCCCTCACTTCTCTAAAGTGAGAGGCACCTCCATCATTTGCTCCAGACTTCCTGGACAAGGTCTTTATTTTTACTCTCAAGCGTGTGGGCCGAGCCTGCGTGGGTGTGGGAGGGGAGCTGGGTGTTTGCTACATCTCAGTATTTTCCTTCTGCAGGGGAGGGCTTTCACTTCCTCCCCGAGCTCTCGGTTCTGCCTGGAATTCACAGGCGGTCCCGGTCCGGACCTGGAGACCACCTAGCCCGTCCCTCCCGAGCACCAGGGAAATAAAGGGAGAGCGGGCGGGACACTGGCTGCCTCCTCCGTACCTGGCGCTCTGCGATGGCTGAGGGGTGACAGGAAGCCTTCCCTGCCCAGGGACCTCCCCGGGCAGGCGCCCCGGCTGTGGGTGAGGAGGCCGGGGAGCCCTGCTCCCTCCGGACAGCTGCCGCAGCCCTGGCCTCGTGTCCCTCGGACACAGTGGTGGGCGAGCCCAGGCCTCCTCCCTGCCTTGGCCTCCTCTGCTGCAGCACGCAGCCAGCCAGGGGGACTCTCAGCCTGCCCCCACCGCCGCCCCCAGCTCTTCCTGCTGGGCTAGTTCCACATTTGGGAATCTTGGGGATCTACCACCCGGGAGCTCAGGGACATGGGGGATGGGGGGTGGCCTCCATCCAAAGGGCCAGGCAACTTCCCATCTCAACCTCTCTGAACCTCGGTCTCCTCTTCGGAACAGAGTGTACGGAGCCCCAGCGGAGGGTTAGAAAACGTGCCTGAAGCACAGGAGGCCTCATCCCAGTGCCCTGCTCTTAGGCCTGCGTTGTCAGTGTGTGCCGAGAAAAGGAACCCTGTCACTGTACACCTCCCAGCCCAGGGAGCACACAGCTATGCAGAATGCAGAAGGCGGAGAGCTGCAGGCACCCGGGCTCCAGCCCCAGAGCGTTATCTCCCCGCTGGAGGCAGCAGCTGCCCCCGGGGTGTCCCGCTCCGACTTCCAAGAAGCCCTCAGACCCCAAAATAAACTCTCTGGAGCAGCCGTGACCCAGCTGGACACGAGAGACTAGACATGCAACCGGGCACGCGGCCAGGGGCAGATAGATGACAGTCCACAGGAGTCCAGTGCCCTCTGCCCTCCGCCTCCCCCCGCCTTCCTCTGGAAGAGGAGTCCCGGGTGTGCCAGCCCCAAGACGCCCCAAAACCCCTGCCCCGCTCAGGTGGAACCCCAGGCCGGACACAGCCTGCAGAGCCGGAGTCTGCTGGAGCCTGTGCACGCATCCAGGAGGTGGTGACTCAGCGCCCATGAGGGCGGTCCCCGCACGGGCAGGACACTGTCACCCACACAGACAGGGGGAGGGAGGGGGGAGACCGCGGGGGGAGCCGGGCCGGGTGCGCCCCCAAACTGAGGGTTAGATACAGGGGCGCCCCCGGCCGGAGCGCCCGCCGGGGTGTCTGCGCTCAGAGCCTCCTGGGAACCCTGGGGAAAGGGGGGAGGGACCCGAAAATCAAGAATCAAAGTTCTAAAAAAAAAAAAAAAAAAGAGTCAAAGTTCTGAGAACACACACCCCCAGCCCCGCGCTGGGGCGGCACACCCGCCACGGAGCGGTCCGTCCCCGGGGGCGCGCGGCTCCGAGGACCCCGGGCGCCGCGGGGACCCGGGAGCCCCCGCGCCGACGGAGCCGCCGGTCCCCGGGGAGCCCGCACCCTGTGCCCGCGGGGACCTCACCGGCCACAGACGAGCGCCGCCATCGCCCCTCCTTCCCTCCGTCCCTCCGGCCGGCCCCCGCCACCCCCTGCGGTGACCACGGCGGACCCCCCCGCCCGCCCGGCGCCCCCGGCGCGCGAGCCCTTACCCCGCGCGGGGCAGCGCCCCGGGGCGGCCGGCGCGGCCAGCAGCGCGGCGAGCAGCGCGCAGCGGGCGGCCAGCATGCTTCCTCCTCCGCCGCCTCCTCCGCTAGCCCCGCGCCATCTGCCTAAGAGGCCGCGGCGGCGGGCGGGCCCGGGGCGGGGCTCGGGGCTCGGGGCTCGAGGCGGGGCGGGCTCAGGCCCCGCGGGCAGAGCCGCGTCCCCCCGGGCGGCTCCGGACACTCCGGGGCTCCCGCGGCCCCGCGCGGCGCCGGTCGCTCCTCCGGCCGCTCGGCCGCGCCCCCGCCGGCACGTGACGCGGGGACATCGGAGGAACTCGCCCCGGGCGCCCCGGCTGCGCTTGCGAAAGCCCGGCGGGCGGGCGGGTGGCGCAACCGGCCGCGCTTCCTGCCGGCGCCGCACCTGGGCGCGCGGGGCGGACCCGGGCCGGGGGGCGCGGGGCCGGGCCGGGGAGAGGGGTAGGGGGACCTCCTTCCGGTTCTGGACTCGGCCACCCCGCGCCGGTTGTGGTTTTTGGTTTCTGGTTTCGGGGACGGGATGGCGCTGTGAAAGGCGCACCTGGGAGCCGCGGGGCAGGCGATGCGCCTCCCCACGTTCCTGCGAAGCCGAGGTCCGGCCCGGCTGGCTGCCCCCGGAACCCCCTGGAGGGAGAGCCCCCAAAACCACCAAAAACCTAAAGACTGAGTCTCAGCCCCGGAGATTCGGACGGAGTGGGTTGGCGGGAGGCTGGAAAAGCGCATTCTAACCGAGCCCGCAGGCTGCAGCGCCGCGGAGAGGGGGCGCGGGAGGCCGGCAGGGACCTCGCTCCACCCCGGCCTCCGCCCGCTGGGGCTGCTCTTCAGAGTGTCTTGGGGGTTATCTCAGCATCTGTCGGAAAGAAATTTTTTTTAATATATTTTATTGATTTGTTACAGAGAGGAAGGGAGAGGGATAGAGAGTTAGAAACATCCATGAGTGAGAATCATCCAACAGCTGCCTCCTGCACAGCCCTCACCGGGGATGTGTCTGCAACCAACGTACATGGCCCTTGACCGGAATCGAACCTGGGACCCTTGAGTCCGCAGGCCAACGCTCTATCTACTGAGCCAAACCGGTCCTGACCGGGAGAGATTTTTTGAATGTTTTGCGGTCTATGCTCAGGAGATGGTCTGGGTCATGGGGGCTCCATAGGTGTCAGAACCTGCTTACCCGCCCTCCTGGTGTGAGAACTAGAAGGTGGTAGTGGCTTTCAGGAGCAGCCCTGAAGACCTTGGAAAGGGCCCTCGGAGGTTGCCCAGGGTCCTGAAGCCGAGAGGGTGGCCTGAGAGCTCCGGGGAGGGAAAGAGAAGTGCTGACATAAGGTCTAGTCTGAGAAGCTTCTGCTCATCGCAACAGACTCATCCACTCGGACTTCAGGCTGGCCCTGCCCAGGACACCAGGGTTTCGGGGCAGCTGGACGGGCATGGCCTGGAGAGGCCCCCACATGGACAGGACCTGGCTCAGGGGTTGAGCATTGACCAGTGAGCCAGGAGGGCACGGTTCAATTCCCAGTCAGGGCACATGCCCGGGTTTTGAGCTCCATCTCCAGTGTGGGGCGTGCAGGAGGCAGCCGATCCATGATTCTCTCTCATCATTGGTATGTGTGTCTCTCTCTCCCTCTCCCTTCCTCTCTGAAATCAATAGAAATATATTTTTTTTTTAAAGGAAGGGGCAGAGCTCCCGAAATGCGGCTCTCAGACCCAGGGCATCTTGCCTGTCCATGGGAACCACCCTTCAGCAGTGCCAGGCAGAGCCAGCCACATGCCCTGACCCATCCGCGATGGAGTCCGATTGGGGAGGAACTGCTTCAGCCACACCCACAGCCTGGGGAAGAAGGGCGTGTTGGGGGCTGGCAGGCAGCTCCTCTGGGCGGGAAGGTGATTCCCACTGTGGCTGCCCCGCCCCCGTCTGTGGAAAAATCGGACCTGAAAACAATCCGAGTGCACCACCAGCTGCCGGCCCGAAACCAGAGGCCGCAGGGAGCCTGCTCAGAGAGGAGGGCTGGAAAGACGGGTGGTGAAGCCCGAGTCTTAGACCCCCCGTGGCGGCCCCAGCAAAGGGGCCTCCCGTCTCTAAACCAGGTGGGGTGACTGTACCGGAGTCAGACAGGTCAAGTTCCCTCCCAGCTCTGCCGCTGGCCGTGTGACTTGGGCATGTTATTTAAACTCTCTGAGCCTCCATTGCCCCATTTTTAATTTTTTTTTTTAAGAGAGGAAGGGAGAGGGAAAGATAGAAGCATCGATGGTGCAAGAGAATCATTGATCAGCTGCCTCACGCATGCCCCACACAGGGTGTCCGAGCCGACAACCAGGACACGTGCCCTGACCGGGAATCACACCGTGAGCTCCTGGTTCATAGGTCGATGCTCAACCACTGAGCCATGCCGGCCGGGCTCCATTGCTCAGTGTTCTAATATGAGAGCAGCAATATGCAAACGACGGACGTTATGGTTCCCATGGGAAGATCTGGCCCGTCTTCTTTTCCCTCAGCCTCATAATATAATTATGTTCCCATTATCTATGGCTTCTCACCTCCGTGCCTATGTTTCAAGCTATTCCCTCTGCCAGCAATCCCCTCGTTTGTCCTGCAGCCTCCTCACACGTTAAGACTCAGGTCCCGTCTCCTCCCTCCTTCCCTGGAGTCCCACCGCTCATCCACAAGTCCAGATTAGGTGGCTGGGCCCTGTGCTCCCTCAAAACACCCTCCTGGCGTGGTCCACCGCCCTGTCTTCCCTGCCACACCGTCACGTTCATCTCTGCCCCCGCTGCTGAGCGGGGCCCGGCACAGAGCGAGGGCCTTCATCCAGGAGACGTGACCTCCCCAGGCTAGTCCGAGCGAGGACCCTCTGACCTCCGTCAAAGGCCACTTGAACTCGACACTCAGTGGCAGTGGCATTTCAAAATCCAGAAGGCCGCATTCCGGCGTTTATGACGGGAGGCACCGACAAGGGAGAGGAGCCAACATACCTGGCGGTGTGCGGCCTGACCTGCGTGCATCCTGGGGTCACTAGGTCCCTCGTCCGGCTTCTCGACTCAGGAAGGCGAGAGGATTCGGGCCTGTCTCGATTTGTCAAGAGCCCCAAGATGGGGACAGGGAGAGCGAGTGGCCAGCACACAGAACTGAGAGCCAGCCAGGCAGGGCCGGGGTTCGGCCCCCTCGGGGGAAGGAGCAGGGAGGGCTTCCAGGGGCACCTCTGCCCGGAACTGCGCTGCTGACACAGCGCTCTCAGACACCGTCTCCTTTGAACGTCTTCCCCCCGGGGCTGGGAGATGCCGGCTCCCATTGTCAGATAAGTGCGCGGGGGCTCAGAGAAGCAAAGCGACTTGTCTGAGTTGCACAACTGGTCAGCGGCAGCTCTGAAGCGAGGCCTGGCTCCTGGCCCGGAGCCCACGCTGGGGGAGGGTGCAGTGGACACAGAACAAGGACAGCTGGTTGCCCCATTACAGGGTCCAGGAGGGGAGAGGGAGGAGGGGAGAGGAGCAGAACCTGCCATTCGGGTGGCCCCCTACTTGGGCCTCCCGAGCCCTCTCCCTTCAGCCTGTGTGTGTTCCTGCAGTTGCCTTCGGTCACCCCTAGAGGGGGCAGCTCGGGACCTGCTCAGCTTCTATCAGATCCTTCCCAGAAAGCAAGTCCTCTCCCGCCTTTGACCAGAAGAGATAAAGCTTCTTAAAGTGTGCCAGTCAACTGGAAGCCCCAGAATAAATTCATAGATTGCTGTGAATCCAAAAGGCACTCACTTATCATCTGCCGTTCCTCCCTCCAGCCTCAAAAGGTGATTTGCCAAAGATGACAAGGGCCGCTAAGGACAGGAAGTCAAGATCCCAGATAGCCTGACTCAAGAGGGATTTCTTTTCAGTTCCTGCCCTGCGCCCACCCTCAGGCGTGGGCCGTGGGTGATTGTTTTAAAATCTCAACCAGGAGGTTTTAAAACAATGCCCTTTGTGGCGATGATGATGATGATGATGATCCTAAAAAGGGGGGGGGGGGGGGGCTGCCCAGCAGATATCTCTCCCCTGGCCTCTGGCCCTGACTTATCAATAATTCCTGGAAGGTGCTCTTTATTCCCTGAACCCTTCCCCTCCCCTTTCTGCACAGCCCAAGAGGCGGTGGACAGTCTGTGGCCCAACTGAGGTATAGCAAGGGGACCCCTCTGACGGACAGAACTCAGTGGCCTAGGCTAATGACACCCCCACAGAATCAAGACCCAGGCAGGGGCAGGGCCCCCCTGCCTGGGGAGACTTCTCCACAGTTACAGGGGAGGACGGCATCCCCAGCTCCGGCCAAACCGACCACGGAGGTCAGTCCGTTTTCTGTTCCCTGTCCCCGTCACATCACCAGCTGCGTCCCCCCCAGAGCAGGGATTTTTAGCTCCATTTTCAGAAAGGGGCTATAACATTCCTTCTCTCCTTATACTATTCATAGTGCTATGATTTCATGACTGTTTAAAAGCACAATTAGGATTAAATACAGAATTACTTTGTGGCCTAACAATTCCTTTTCTGGATAGACATATACAAAAAAAGAAATTGAAGTGAGGAACTCATCTCAGCCAGCGTGGCTCAACCTATGAACCAGGAGGTCACGGTTCGATTCCGGTCAGCGCTCATGCCTGGATTGTGGGCTCAAGCCCTAGTCGGGGGGCCTACAGGAGGCAAGCCGATCAATGATTCTCATTATTGATGTTTCTTTCTCTCCCTCTCCCTCTTCCTCTCTGAAATCCAGTAAAATATATCTCAAAAAAAATAAGTAAAAATTTAAAAGAAAAAGCAGGAACTAAAACAGAATGGGTACGCCCATGTGCACAGAGGAAAGGGGGCAGGACCATGGCTGTTTAATGATGACTCGCTGCAGATAAGAAGTTTTTCTTCCAGACCCCTGGACAGAGGATGTGCTGCAAGAAGAAAAACAGAGCTGTAAAAAGATAAGAGAGCCTTGGGGCCCATCCGGATGGGTCCATTGCTCAGCAAAGAAAAGATGTGTTGCAAACAAAGGACAGGACGTGCTTTGATTTGTGGCTGGACCCTGACCCCCTCCAGGCGTTTGCCTGGGCTCAGGAATGCTGACCATC